TGCCTCTGGAGAGGAATTAAAACTTGCGGTGGCAAGTTGTGCATAAAAATCGAAGATTTCGACTCATAGTATCCTGTTGGATCTTTCATGCCATAGGCCTGTAGGTTACAGACCTCATAGCTGATCTTGTGATTAGAAAACAGGCGTTTTGCTTCTGGTGAAGACCAGAGCCTGCTGTAGTATGGGTTCTCAAGAACAAAGTAACGTCCGAGCTTCATTTGGTGGTCTGCGACCGATTCACAGAATTTTAAAACAGAAAGTCTCTTGGCAGAGCCTTTCTTCCACTGTGAGTACCAGCTAGACCACTGAGAATGGTCAGGTGACATAACAATAATAGTAGGTTCTTGTTCCTTGATAATCCTAAGAAGATTGGAGCGACCTTGCGGTTGCTCAAGATCTAGACCGCTACGCAAATCGACTGGCTGACCTACTCGAAGACCTGATAGGGCAGCCTTGTGACTCATGCGGGGAGATCCGCCGTAGAGTTCTAGAAAATCAATCTTCCCAATACTGGTGACCTGCCAGTGACACTCTTGATGTGGAATCGTTAGGTCTGTCGACTGCAGGGAAGCATCAAAGGTGACCATGCAACTTGCGTGGTCAGAACCTTCTGACGTCAGAGTTTCCTCATCAGGCGCGAGAGGAATCTCCACATCAGATGTTATGTCATAGTTTTTCCTCAGTTTTGAGATATTGACACGGACGATGCGTGTTCCAAGATCCACACCTACCATGGATCCTCCGAGTTCGGAGATCACCTTACCTTTTAGCCAAGATCCATGTTTGGACCCAGTGGATCCAATCTTAGACTTATCTTCTGACCAGTAGAAAACCTTATCTCCCAAAGAGAAAGGTCCTTGGGTCATTGACAGTCTGGCTGCAAGATCTCTACGCAGATCATCAGATTGGCGTGCCTCTTGGTAAGCCCTGTTGGCAAGCTCCTTAATGGCTCTCGCAGTGACTTCCGTGTCAGTTGGATTACCTGTCAACTGATTGGGATCGGCGTTCTCTGGTGTGATAACATCTCGAGGACGCCTTCCGAAGGCCATTTCCAAAGGAGTAACTCCTCCGTAGGTAATCGAAGAGTTTCTTGCCAAACATGCTTGGCGAACGAGGTTGCCATACTTCATGGTGATTCCGTTATACTGCGGGTCACCATCCTTCAGGATCTGAAGTATGAGCTTAATCTGATGCTTCAGCAATCTTACAGCAGCTTCGGCCCTGTTGGGCCATGGTGTTCCAGGTCCTGTTGCCACAGGCTTGATATTCTGCCGATTGTAATAAGCCTCCATTTTTGGAGTCATGAATGCTTGATCTCCAACTACAACCTTTGGGTTGATCTGAAATTTCTCAAAGTAGTCATTCATAATCGACATTGTAGTATGTTCTTCTTTATCCTGGACTACTTCGGCAGTCAACAAGTTTGTTGCTCCATCATAGAGAATAAGAAATACTAAGCGACTATCCTTGCCGGGAATTGGAAGCTCACCGTGATCTACAAAGGTGAGATCACCGAAAGTTTCTGATCTTAGACCAGAAATCTTCGCTCTCGAAGGAGCTCTCACATGTTCCTGGCAGGCTGAACACTTTTTGACCAGTTGGTCATATAGCTCGTAGATCTCCTTTGGGATCTGTAAGGCTTTTGTGCGTCGCTTGAACTGATCCGTACTCATATGACGGTGCTTAAGGTGAAGCTTGTAGAGTTCTACAGGGTCCTTAAGCTTTTCATGAATCCTGCGAAGAGCAATGGGAAGAGATGGCGAAGGTTCTGCGACAATCTCTTCACCTGTTGGTGAGTCTGTACCAGGAGCCGGGTATTCTCTTGACTCAAGTGGTCTTACCTCCGTCCCGTCATCAGCTCCTGGGACTGTAGACTTCTCTTCAACAGGAGGTTTGTCCGCATATTTGCGGGTTTTCTTCAGAAGGTTTTTAAGACCCTTTGGAGTCTTTGTCTTCGCAGATGGAACCTCAAGTCTTTCTTCTTCTGGAGGTTCATGCGGTGCAGAGGATTCTGCCGGTTTGTCCCTAGAGCCTGATGAAGGTTCCGATGGTCCGGAAGGCTCAGGAACATCTCCAGATGATTCTGGTGGATCAATTTTCTTGGCAGACGATTCTGCCGGATCAGACGGAAGAGGCTTCCTTTTCCCTGAAATCCTCTTCGGTGGTGGATCAGCTGCTCCCTCAGGTGCTCTGTCACAACCCTTGAGGTACGTGTGAGCCTTTTTCTGTCCGGCACAGGCTGGACAGCGACCTTCCGGTATCCTAACATAAGGCTTATTGGCTCCTAGAGCAGTCTCCGTCGCACGGAACGATGTACCTGACTTAGGAAGGTACTTCCTGGTGGAAGTAAAGCCTAGAAGGTCCAATACCAAATGGTTATTGGTACTAATCGGAAGGGGGGTTTTGTACAAACCGAAAGCTTCACACGTTGCTAGGTCAGCTGTTGGACTACACTCGAGGGTCATTCTTAGGTTTCTCATCTGTTCAATGGAGAACAAAATGGGGACTCTTCCCTGATCCAAAACTTCTATGGTTGTATCTCTTCTTGGAGTTGTGTTAAACCATAGAGTTACACGCTCCTTGATAAGAGCTGTTTCACTATCTGCGAAAGAGAACTTCGTGTTCGAAGGTGAAAAAGTGAAATCAATCATGCCTGGGGCATGTTGCTTCACGGCCTTGATAAGCCTGTTCACCGCATAGCGGGAACCCATAGCCCTAGTACAACCAGAGTCAAGAATGACAAAGGTAGGGCTCTTATCAAGATTGATCCGCTCGGTGAGAGCAGATAGGACGGTGTGCTGCAACGGAAACACTGCTGTTGCAGTCTCCACACCTTGCCCCTCGGATGGTTCAAAAACCTGGGGCGCGTAACTCACTGATGAGTTGTACACGGGTTCTTGGTGCGCGCTCGGATCTGTGCCTCTACCTGATGATCCTGCTTGATTTCTTCTCTTCTTTTTCCGTGTCTTTCTTCGTGAGGCTTGTGATGCATAGTATGTATAAGACGTTTGATCGTCATAAGCGGCATAATTCCAACTGGAGTCAGTATAATAACTGTCCTCATACCATGAATCCCAGCTCGGTGCGGTGGAACTTTCATAGGCCTGTGGAGATCCAGTTTGGTCTCCTTGTAAGGAGGCAGACTTAGCTGTATCCTTACCTTTGCCTTTTGATTTTGTACCCTTGAAGGAGCTTCCTTTATCTCCTTTGTCCTTTCCTTTTCCTTTGCCTTTTCCACCTTTTCCTTTTTCCTTTCCTTTACCTTTACCGAAATAGCTGGAATCAGTTGGATCATGTTCTGCCTGGTTGGCTCTCCCTTTTCCGCGGTATGACCTAAAACGGCCACGTCCTTTTCGCTTGCCACCCTTTGCTCTTCCCGGTGATCCGGGACGCATTCTTGGTCTTCTTCCCTTTTTGAATCTCCTTGCAACGAAGGCTTCATGGTCGTCAACTGTCCAAAAGACAGCTTCTTCATCCTCGGCGGCAAGAAAGCCTTCCTCAAGGGTGTCTTCGTCTTGGAGCCAGAATCCATCGACTCCGTCGTATTCACCCTGATCGAGGATGAGGAAGTTTCGACCTCCGCGTTTGCGGCGTTGATCTCTCCTTCCATGGCGGTCCTTCTTGTGAGAAGTGTGCCGAATATTGGGATCCTGCAGACCAGTTCTGGTCGTTGAGAACTGATCGAACATGGTCTGCCGTACTATAGGGTACGTGTAGGTCTCAATTCGGTAACCTTGGTTGGTCAATGCTGTTACCAACCTCTCACGTTGCATCTCATTTAGGTCGGACTGCACTAGGAAGAGGAGAGCTAGGAGATTATCATTTAGAGGAAACGCTCTTCGATGATTATCAAGGCGTTCCTTGTTCCATGTTTCGAAGAAACGTGCGGCGTATGTGTCTCTCTCGGTTGCATCCTGTAGGCGTATGAAGGTTTGATCTGCTTGCACAGCCTGCATGAAATCAGGATGGGCATCTTCCAGAATTATCTCTGGTAAGAGATCCATCCATGAGTTTCTCACGCGCTGTAGCACGATCTCAAACTTAGCAATCCAAGTCACAAAGTCTTGGTTGCCCTTCCATGCCTTGAATAGGCCGAGAAAACGCCACAGGAAAACGTACTGTTCTCCTTTCACGAAAAATGGACGCATCTTCTTCTTGAAGTAATCTACTCCGTCTGGGGCTGCAAGCCTTTCTCTGTTGAGTGATTCCTTTTGTACTGCGGCCAATCCGGAGAGCCTCGTCTTGAGAGACGGACCTCTTTTGGTATCATCCAGCGTTGTTATATCGCACCAGTCGTCAATCAACTGTTCATACTCAAACCACGAGGTGGTGCCATCATAGGCAGGCGCGATCTTGGGCGTTATGCCTAATGATGCAAGCATGCGGTCAGATGTTGCATATGACTGTGCGACATAAGTAGCTGGACCTTGGGAGGTCTCTTCGTTCTCATATCCCCCGGAGGATTGGGAACTGCCGTCGGCTTCGCTATGCGAGCTCGACATTGTGCTGCCTCTTGTCCGCTTGGTTAAGCGTTCGGCGAGGCCGACCGCTGTAGCGGACTTTGTGAGGCGGGCGGCCCTTTCCGGGCTCCGCTACCAGAAAACTGTGCCGATACACCCCCAAGGAATACTCCTTGTGAGGAGGTGTATGACCAGTTATTCCCTAAGGATCAAAGGGCAGCGCCCTGCACACGGACAGTAGTTGTTTTGTCTTGCTACGCAAGGAGAGCTTGTCTTGTCTCAATATGGTAAAACCACTGTGAGCCAATGGGCAGCGGAATGTATATGTATGAGCATGCAGCCATTGCTGTAGGTACCTGTTTGGAGCTACCCCTTTAGAGGTTTATGGTTTCCCCCCCCCCCCCCCCTCCCCCCCCCCCCCCCCCCCCCCCCCTCTTGACAGGCCGCCCTAGCATAAAAAAACATCGACTGCCCCCTCACCCTGCCGCTACACAGCCGAGGCGGGCGGCGTAGCGTTAAAATTAGTGCTGCCTCAGTGTCCGTTTTTGCCAATGTAGAGGTTGTTTGTACTGCCACACTTGCCACCATAACCACAGCCGCGAGCAGGTAGTCTCTCAAAGAGTCCCTGTGGGCAACAGGAGATTTAAGTCTGAGAGTCTGACTAGAAGTCTGCCCCTTGTAACACCGTGCAGTCCTTGCCTTCTTGTTATCGTAGACCAGGCACTGAACCCCCGGCATTCCGGCCGAGGTCCGGATCTCCGTGGACCAAAGCTCACAGTACACGTCTCCTCGCAGAGCAAGCGCCAGATGAAGCATGCAACATTGCACGTGCAACCGGACGCACCCCGGTCCTCTATGGTGCTGTTGACCGTACTCAATGCCAGTGCACGTGTCCCTATTCTGGCAGATGACCTCATGGTCAAGCGCGGATCACAAACCATGTGTGGCACCTCTATCTTCCCAGTTTGTGCCGGTGACAGCAATGTCAAACATGATGGTGGATGATGATTGATTTGTGACACTGCCGGCACCAGAATCATTCTTGCCAGCGGCTTTGCAGTCCTCAAGGGTGGCCACATTCTTCAGCCTGGGCAAGGTTTCCGCACCCGAGAGACTGGCTGCCCTCTTCCGCGAGCCTTTGGACAGTCTTGACACCGTCCTCGGAGAAGTCCTTGTCACCCTTAGAAGCTCCACTTGGGGCTTTGAAGGATTTGCCACGCTGACCACCATGGAGCTGGGTGGGCAAGCTACACTTCTCGTGAAGGCTGTCGTGCGCACATGCCGAGTAACGATGCGACAGGCAGAGTTTGGGCCGTAGCTGCGCCATGTCCCAACCTGCGGAAGACATGACTCTGAACCTCGCCAGAACATCGGATTCCTGGCCAGCCTTTACAAGCCTTTCGCCTTTGCAACCACCAAACTTCGTTTAGCCGCTAAGCTCCGCAGGCCTTCCTGTAGGAGTCGAAATTCTTGACCCGGGAAGTGGTCTCAACCAGGCGGCTCATGAGCTGGCAGCTTCCCTCCTTCGAGACTTTCGGCTCGGCCTAAGCTAAGCCTGACAAAAGCAACGTCTCTCTCCTGCCAATCAGGATAGTCGCCGAAGGAATCCTCCCGGGCCACTCGGGCATTGCTCTGTGCATGCTCGGGCAGTGGTCAAAGCCGAGTGCTTGCACAAATCCGAGCGACGGTATGCTTGAAGCCGAAGCCGGCGCACCAGTAACGCTCATTGCAGAGCCTTGAACACGAGGTGAGAGCAGACGTAAGGCCGCCTCATGTCCGAAAAATGATTCCGTCAAGTCGCATCCTGCAGCCATCCAGAGACTGCTGCATGAACACAGCATACTCGCCAGATGTATACCTCGGCGACCCGAATACGAAAGGTTCCATGTGCCGGCACTGGATGGCCCTGAAGCAGATTGTAGCTTGTTGTTTCAAGCCCTCTGCTTTTGCCTCGAGAGAGGTACGAGGTAACTCGTATCGACTCTTGGCACCAACTTGTGAATTGCAAAAACGTCAGGTCTGCAAGTCGGTCAAATAGCTAAAGAAGATTGACAATGAGTTTTCGCTGGCGAAACGAAGTCTTGCATCTGTAATGTAAGGTGGAAGACCCTAGAGTAGAGTCCTCGAGACGGCAAAGAAAGACAGCATGTACGATGATTTTCGGCACATGCCACTTGCGAAGACGCTTCTCATCGGTCCGAGGAGCCCTTCACCGTTTGGGCGGTCGCTGCCGGACGGTCCACCGGGACCCCTGCCCCAACGCTTTGCGTCTGTGGCCAGGAAGACCTTCGCAGGAGATGCGGAATGACGGCCAGGCCGGAAGTGGGTGGAAGAGTATCTTGGGATCAGTTGAAGCATGGGCACATATCTGTCGGACAAAATCAGGGCGCATGTGCGACACCTCACCTTGTGGCACAGTACGCTCACAGCCTCGCGAACTGATCTTGCGACCTCGCAAGCCTCACATCGTGGCCTTGCGCCTCGCGTCAACCTGCCTCGCAGCCTCGCGGCCTCGCGGCCTCGCATCTCGTAGCCTCGCCTCGAAGCCTCACGATGCCTCACGATGCCTCACAGGTTCCTCTTTGATTTCAAACTCCACCTGGCATGTTTGCTTGCTGACCTGCCACAGGCAAGTGGACGAACCTGCGATTTGCTTGCGATAGGACTGCAGTTGTTCAAACCGTGGGTTCGCGAGGGTCGGCGAATTCAACGAGGTACTAACGGCCTTATCGCTTATTTGAGCATCCTGTCCACCTGAGAAGCTTCACAACAAGTGCCGAAGACTGAACATATTTTGGTCACGACAGCCGTGTCATGCCCTACATCTCAAGGCAGCTTGAATTTTGCGCTGCACGTGCCTTGTCATAGCCAGGCTCCTGAAATTCCAATGTTGAAAGGCGCAAACTTAGGCAAGATCTCCCGAAAAGTTTTGGAACGCAATGCCGGGTGCTCCTCGGAGCAGCCGCCATCACACACCCAAGAGACATCATAGAGAGCACCGCGCCAAACACTGGCATCCTCAGAAGTCACGAGGCATACCTTCCTCGCACCGCCACAAGATACAAGTTGATTGCAAAGCCGAGGCACGATATTCATAGGGAACCAGGCAGTTTCTGGGGCCGTCCACAGCACCCGTCTGTTGACAACATACTCGACGCGTGAGCGATCACTGTTCAACCTGCAGCAGCAGCAGCACCACCACCACCACCACCACAACAGGAGGACAGGACTCAAACCATAGGACGCTTACAGACGTCTTGCTATTCAATCATTGAAAAACTGTGCGATTCAGACTTCCTTCGCTGTCGCTTGCAGATCCAAACTGGTCACTCGCCCGCCTCACTTCGAAAATGTCACGGTCACCTCCAGACCAACGGCGACTTCCCAGGAATCGGTTACCTGAACAGGAGCTCTTGAACTTAAGCCTCAGGTGCTCTACGCATGGCTTCGGGCCAAGGTGCCCCACCAGCCTCTGGGGCCTCTCCGACCCCAGAGCCGTCGCCAGTGGGTGTGAACCTCACTGTCACTAAGGTCGCTGCGGAACACCAGTCTGCATCAAGACGTGGTCCGAAGGGCATACATGGAGTAGTCGATGTCCCAGTACCAATCGTTGGCATTGCCATGTGATAACCCGATCATGATGACTGTATCCCAGGTTGCTTTGAACCTCACACCTGGGCCAATGCCGGAAAGCTTGTGAGTTTTGAGCAGTGCTCGATCAGATGTAATGGCTTGCTTCTTCGGAGCAGGCCTCTCTTGGCACTTGTGGCAGTTACCTCTGAAGCCGTGAAAGCACCGTGCCGCCAGCCGTGCCAAAAGCCTTTCAAAAGGACAAATGTGCAGGACTGCAAGGAACTCCAAGCAAAAGGAAGTGTTGACCCGACACCTGACAGGAGACCTGAAGCCTAGGGAAGAGCAGCCACCCGCATCTCGAAGCTTGCCGGCCTTCTCGCCCTAACGACTTGCTCTGCTTCCATTGTGGCATAAGCACCGGATTGACGTTGGCCCACTGGAACGCCTGCTGCTGGTTCACGGCTGCACGACTGCAAGAAAAACGAAAAACAACACAAAACAGAAAACACAAAAACCGAACAAAAGGACGAACTGACACACATGTGCAGTTCTCCAAGCTGAGCTTTGATGACATTGTGCCTGACTACATACCTGGCTATCTCAAAGCAATCTCACTCACTCTTGTCAAGGAAAATTGCAGGTACATGACTGAGCGTCCTCAATCACTTCCCTTCCAGTGACCTAGCTTCGTTGGATCAGGTCAGTCACTGGAAGCCTGATCCCCCCTGCATTTACAGAAACCTTGGTAACAGGATGTACACACACACGCCCCTTCCGAGGAAGGGGCAGTGCAAGTTCGGCCAATCACTAAAATACAACGAATGCATCGTTCATGCTAGACTCAAGCAAATTATACCTCAGCAGCCATCATTTTACTGGCACAGTCGCACACACTCAGTCTTCACGATCTGCTGCTGTACGAGCAAAATATAACGGTGACAGCGCACTCAGTGTCGCAAGGGATTGTGTATGTGCAACATGTCGACCGTCTTGCTGAAGCTGAAACGACGAGATTCGAGGGCTACGTCCAAGCACAGAATACATCTTGTCGACCAAAGCCCACTTCACTGAGTCGATGGTGCCAGTTGACTCACACACCAGGTCAAAGGACTTTTGACGAAAGGCAGTAATCATCGAAGATTGTAGCCCCAGGAATGCACTCGCGAATCTTGGAAATGAAAAAGCAAAACAATCTGAAGTAGGCCCTGGGCCCAATTAATATCAGCTTTCGGAAGATGCAAGCACTCATGTTTGAAAAAGGTTAGTGCCTGACCTAGCTGACAAATGTCATGCAACAATGCGGTGCGTACGACCGCATGCGATGGGTCTGTGGTTTCTACTTTGGCTGCGAGTCAGGCAGCCTGATACTTAGCCATTGCGATGCACTTGCTGAGGCTCGTGATGTTCAAACGTGTTGCAAACTTGCGATCAAGGCCGAAGTTGATGGCTGCTTCCACCACCTCTTTCTTGTCGGACTGCTCAGTCAACAACTTGACGACACAGTTCACATGCTTGTTCAACTCACGAAACTTGCCCTTGTACTGCTTCTTGAACGATTGCATCCACTCCTCAACATGCTCATCTTTGACACTCTTCGGACGATTGTCTTTGAGCGATGTGACCGGCCGGCCACTCAAAAAATTCTTAATCTGATGCGCAAGCTCTTCCTCATTTTCTGCCTTGCGCTTCTTGCCACGCTTCATGTCAACTGGAAGACCTTTGTCTACCCAAGTGGCTCGGCTTCAGACTCAGCAGGCTTACGTGGGGTCAGCGCTAGACCGGCTTGTGCAAGCTTCGTTTTGGCTCGAATCAACTCTTCAGCATCAGCAGACGAAGCAGATTCTGACTTGGGAATGCGAGATTTGATCTCTTTCATCAACACTTCAATCAGCGGCTGCATGAAAGCAGCAGCTTGCTTATGCTTGTCCGGAGGAGAAAGATTGCTCTCTTTGATGCACTGAAGTGCTACAGCATCGACATCCACTTTCGACTCACGAATGCTCTCAAGCAACTGTGTCACCAGGACACTTTCTGCTGAGTTGCGCGTCCACACTATCGACTGAAAACAGCCCTCGGAAAGCATGCGCAGCGAAAATTCACTGAATCCTCGAAGGCAAAGCTCGTGCACTCTGAAATCTTCCACCGGCCTACCAGCCAACTGTGCTTTGCTAGACCAATCCGTTGATTGGATAACTCGGTGGAATTGGTGATTGCCTGAGCTTATCGCAGTAGAATTGAAAAACTTGCTGTCACTCTTGAAATTCGAAGGAATCGTTGGTTCAGGGGCAGCTACGACAGGCGACTTCGGAGTCTCGGATCGGGAGTTCCACCATTTGCTTGAGGACCAATCTTGCTTCGTCCGGTTCCAGTCATCGTTGCCCTGGTATCCCGAGCTGTTCGTCCAGTGATGAGAGCTGGAGCTCCACATGGCGTCAGACTAGAAAATGCTAAGTCGGTTGTGCAAACTTCGCTTTGGCTCGTCTCAACTCTTCAGCATCGGCAAACGAAGCAAATTCGAACTTGGAAAAGCAATCCTCAAACCAAAAACAAACCAGGATACTCTGAGCTGGAGACAGTGACAGACACGATGAAACAGAACATCTGATTGTATCTCTGGCGAATGTCAGACTGTAACGGATCATCAGGCTTAGGTCATTTTGTTCCGATCAGGGAACATCGGCTGGTCATTGACATGACCGTCATCCGGGCTACCCCGGAGCAGACAGCGCGCTGAACGAAGCTGCCTGGAGCACACATGTGCAGGTCTCCAAGCTGAGCTTTGATGACATTGTGCCTGACTACATACCTGGCTATCTCAAAGCAATCTCACTCACTCTTGTCAAGGAAAATTGCAGGTACATGACTGAGCGTCCTCAGTCACTTCCCTTCCAGTGACCTAGCTTCGTTGGATCAGGTCAGTCACTGGAAGCCTGATCCCCCCTGCATTTACAGAATCCTTGGTAACAGGATGTACACACACACACATGGATCACTTCGATCGCCGAACTTGCATTACATTATCGCAAATGCAAGAGTTGCAGGATTTGCAGGTACACAGACGGGCATTGGGTCCTAATCTGCATCACGGCGTATCCACAGCTGTCTTCGTTGGCCGCAGACATGCGGACTCGTTGCTGCCCCCTGCTTGTGTTGGGACAGTCAAAACATGGACCGAATTCACGTGCGGTAAATGTCCAGTAACGTGTACACACACACTCGCATACAGAGAATGTTGGGTAAGTGGGTTGTGGTTCTGCAAGTAGCTGGGTGTCTGGCGCAGCATTCAGCAAGCAATACTGTTGGAGATCTGGGTTATTGAAGGACAACGAGACAAACACAAAGTGTATGTGGGATCCAGAAAAACCGGACTCATGCATCATGGTGTCCATTGTCCGGGACGCCCGGCCTCGGTGGTTGTGGCAGTGGTCCCCTGCACTGCAGGCACATGCAGAGACGGGTATAGAATAAGAGTCTCCCTGCCCTGATTTGCAAACCCGGCATGCTCGAGAAAGCTAACCGCAAGAGACGGACAGCCCACCTGCAGTTCACAGGGCATGCCAACCAGCTGGATGTTGTTGAGTGTAATGCCTGAGGGCATGGCAGGTCCAAGTGCTACTTCTGCTCGCAGGCAGATTTGAGAATCGTACGATCAACTCTCTTACAAACCCTCTCCTCGACTCGTCCAAAACGCAACAAGAACCCAGCAACACTGCTGATACGGCTGACGCGATAGATCTTGAGGAAAGCTGCTCGACTGGTAGCAGATGTCTGTCCACCAAAGCGTGAGGCGCACGACGGTTACACCTCACGGGCGCTAGGATGACTTTGACGTTGAGAGTAAATTCGACTCACTTCAACCTAAAGCATCAACGTGACGGGAACATGTAGTGGCCTTGTACTGCGTCGAAGCTGTGGAAGAAGGGCTTGTTCTGCGCAAAGCCCTTCGCCTTTTCCGTCGCACTCATGCTGTACCAATGCCATGCTGACGACTGAATCCTGAGACTTGGCCTCCAGAGACAACACACAAAATCCGCCTTGGCAACAAACTGCGCCCCACGCTCGTAGTTTCCGAACATCTCTTGCTTGCTGTAAACCATGTTCCAGCCGCCTCCCAGGCACACAGCCGGGACATGAAGGTGAATGCACTGTGAATGCTGAATGTGATTGAAGGCTGCACTCGCTTAGTGGCGTTCACAAACTGTCACAAACACAGCCGGGCAGCTAGCTGACTGGAGGTCGATGCGCAGGCCGCTGTACCCCTCCCCGCGACAATCCTCACCAGGACGGCCACTGAAGATGACTACATGCATCTAAGCATGGCGGAACAGTGTCACGCACAACACGTGGGCAAGCCACTGGGCTGTTGCCCACAGTGATGCCAACCGCAGCCACCGTGGCAGCCTTCAAAAGGGCTTCCACTACTTCAACTGGTAAAGCCGACACACAGTGAGAGGCTGCAACGAGGACGTGCCCAACCATGAAAAGCAGCAAACAGGGCCTCCTGTAGTGTGAGGGTGATGGTAAACTTCTTATCATCTTGAGTGCGGTAGCGGACGTAGTAGTACCTATGATCGGACAGAAGTCAGGTCATTCCTTCTCCATCTCATCAGCAATCCATGCACACTTCGCACCGTGAGCATCATACACAGCATGTGCAGTGCATAGCAACGCACATGCACCCGCTGCATTGCATTCGAGGCCGAGGGCACTTGTCGTTTATGGCCCGATTGATGTCCTGTCATAGATGCAGTACCACAAAAGGACCACACTTACAATTCTAAAACTTACCTCATGCTGCGCATGGAGAGCACGAACAGAATAAGGCAAGTGGTGACTACGATTCGGAAGCTCTTCCCAAATCTTTGACAGGCGTCGTTGCGCCAACCACGATCTCGGTTGGGGCTGCCAGAGGCAGTCCATGCAGCCCTAGCAATCCACGGTTGGGAGCAGCGTGCCGCCTCCACTTACAACTGCAAGTGCATCCAGCCCTCTCCCACTCTCCCACGGCTCTACCCCCGATGCGGTGAGCTTGCAAAATCTGGAGTCGCACTCCACAAACCCTGGCCTGGCATTGAGCTCCTGTCACGCGGACACCAGTCAGGCGAAACCACCCATCCTCGAAAGGTAAGGGGCAGGAAAACGCAAGTTTTCTCCACAAGACGAGCAATTCGGATTCCTCTGCAGCGTGGCAGCTACAGGCACGCAGCATTCAAGAACATCCATGCAAAGGCCATTGATGACTGATCAGTTCACACAAATGCAAACCCGTGTCGTCGAGACAACTGCATACCCAGCGGTGCTCGTACCAGTCCGAACAGGAAGGGAAGCGCTTGGCTTCAACATGTTCTGCTCATGGGGCGATAGCACTTGTCGGTTCAACGCCAAGACTGGAGCACTTCAGGATTTATGGTTTGCAGCTCTGCATCTGGGGCCTTGATACCCTTCAATCAAAACACAATATCATCACAACAGGCCTGCTTCGTGCGTAGACCTTCAAGTCAGTTCAAGTCTTCATAAACCCGAACCCGCCCAAACTGGTACCCTCTAGCTGTGGTCCAACTAAAAATGACCGCGGATAAATCTGGTAAGCTTTCTGTTGTTCTTTAGTTTGTTCTTTGGGGTTTGGGGTTTTGGACTCAGGGTTTTTGAGTTTGGGGTGTAGGATGGATGCTAGTGTTGGCATAAGATCAGCCGAGGAAGTGAGGGGACTTGCACACGCCTGATCTTCCGGGGTGTCGGGTTCATGCGGTCAGGGTGTGGAATTCAGGGATTCTCCTGGCTCTTAACAAAGGAATCCTGAAATTCGAGTGGTAAGCTCAGAAACCCGCGGTGGTGTCTCACATGGCCAGGGCAAGTGAAGGCTCATCCCGGCCCCCTGAAAGGCCAACCACCCCCTGCCCCTGACCCCCGATCACTGCGGCGCGCTGATGTGGCGACTAATTTAGGAAAGCAACCGGGCATCGCGACCGCCACGGCTTCCAGATTCGCAAAGTGCTCAACGGGGCAGCTGGAAATCCAGAGGAGCATGTTTCCTGCAAACTTCAACGTCCACGACATGTCTCCGAAACCTGGCAACTACCTTTTGGATTCGGGTATGAAGCCATGTCCTTTCCGGCAGGGGTACCCGAAATCTCGCAGGCTTTGATCCAGCGACCGTCCTTAGCACGCCATCAGGGCCGCACTGGACTCCACCTGCCACTTCCAGACGAACGAAAGGCTAAGTGCGCTCAGGCTCTCCAGAGTCGTACTGGAGCTCGTATGGGCACTGGAGACCTGTCACCGGCTTCACTCTTGCTTGGCGCATTTGGCACTGAGATTCCGGGCAAAGACATGCTTCAGGCAAATCTCCTACATACTGCGTCGCGGCCTCGCCAATGAAAGATTTCCACCTGTGATAACTTTGTTGGCTGCGCCAGTGTGATCTTTGCCCACGAGGTGAAGTGGACGCCTGGATGCAGTGTACATGCGGAACCTGATGTGAACTACACGGCTCTCTATCTCCAAAGGTACAATTCGAGACGGCTTTAATTCATGAACAGCCTTTACAATGCCCGGTTGCCGAATCCTCTGTTCCAGGTTGTCATGTCATTCTGCGCCGTGATCTGAGAAGTGCAATCTCTGCTTCCCCGCCATCCTGCTCGAAAGGGATCCATGGAACGAATGAAGTGGAGTCAGAGACACGTGCGTGAGATCGCGCGGTTGTTCGCATGGCGCATGGGCATCCAGAACCTCCCCACCAGTTGTTGGTCTCGCAGATGACATTGCCGGGCTCGATCTTGGCCGCCTCAGCCTCGCAGCTCGCCTGGCAAAGCACAAGTGCAGACAACTCTGAAAAACACGGCGGCTGCAAGGATTTGGGGGATTTGCCTCCCGCTTGGAGAAGCGCCAGGTCGTTCCTCCGAAAACAGTCTCCTGCACCGTGCAGCTTGGTGGTCGGTGTGGCGCTGACACTACTGCGGGAAAAGGCATGAAAGCAAGTAATCCGGATGAGCACCCACATTCTGCTGGACATTGCCAGAACTCAGAGAAACAAGCACACACACCAGAGTCCATAGCTGCTAGACATCACACAGAAGGCACACATCGAATACGAAAGCCGAAAGCACGGAGCGAGGCAGGTCTCCTTCTCCCTGGATTTCCTGCACAGGACGTGGGTTAAGAAAAGGGGATAAAGGGTCCCTCCCCTCATGACGGGGCCTGGGAAGCGCTGCAGGGCTAGCCCCCATGAGCAGCGCCTCTCAGGAGCCAAGCACACGCAGGAGCCAAGATGCGCCTTTGCGCCTTGTCTTTTGACTCCGGGCCTTGGTGCCAAACTCGCAGTCCCGGTCATCCCACAAGTTCCTCGGACATGCGCACGATCACTCTGAGCCTAAACCTCTATGACCTGTCCATGTCTTGGCAAGCATCTCTGATTCTGGCGGCAGCGCATTGCTGAAAAGGATGCGGTACTTGCCTGGAAGTGGCGAGCGACAACATGCCATCTCGACAACAACAACAACAACAACAACAACAACAACAACAACAACAACAACAACAACAACAAGGAAGGCGTTGCGTCTGCCGCCGCACGGGGTGTGTCGTTTATGTTTGGGAGGTTTTTTGCTCAAAAAGCTAGAAAACCCCGCTTTGCGTGGTTTTCATCAACAAGACGATGTATCGGAGGGCAAAATTTGTGGAGTTCTTTGTCTTGTGAGTTTGGTCTGGTTTTTGCGGAAGTATCGCAAATACCGTGTTTTTCGTGTTTGAGTTATGTTGATTTTCCGGCTAAATTTGGAAGTTTTTGTCTGGAATGCTTGAAAACTCGAGGTTTTTGCATGGTGGACGTTTCCAAAGTGAAGCAACAAGAAACTGGAAGTACGGATTGACAGAGCAACTGGTAGCGTTTGAGAAGTAACGCAACCAAAGAGACAGAAGACACAAGCCGCATTCGCATGGACGTCATCACAACCCCCATCCCCCCCACCCCCGCACAGAGCTGAAAGACAGATTGCAAGTTTAAGCTGGCATGCGAGAATCGGCAAAAACACCGTAAAAAACAATGCGAAATGCGACACATAGGAAACAACAAGAGAAACAGAAGACACAAGCCGCGTTCGCATGGACGTCATCACCCCCCCCATCACCCCCAAGCCCCGCACAGCGCTGAAAGACAAATGCAAGTCGAAGCCGGCATGTGCAGAAAGTCGAAATTCGGCAAAAAACACTGCAAAAACCGATGCGAAATGCGACACACAGGAAAACACCGAAAAAAACGATGCGAAATGCAGAGCCGAACAAGAGTTTGCCGAGTGGAGCCCGCCGGCGCGGTCACTTTTTTGCCAGAAAACACCGCAAAACCCGATGCGAAAGCAAAAGCAAAGTTAAGTGTCAGGTGAAAAAAGTGCCAAAACTCGAGTTTCAGCGCATGCCAGCAGAGGAATTGCACCACCCCGCGCGGCGGCAAACGCAACAACAACAACAACAACAACAACAACAACAACAACAACAACAACAACAACAACAACAACAACAACACCGAAGGCATGCGCTGCCTCCATTCTTCTGGCCGTCCATCAGGCTGACGATGGCGTATTGCATGCCCTTCACCTCTGCTACACAGGTACACATCACGATCTCAGATGCACAAGGAATCCAAGGCTGAAGCGTTGGAGCCATAGTCCCCAGCCATGTTGGACTCCCAGACCTTGCAAGCAGCCGTGCATGACCCCTTGCCCGCAGCACTGACGCAAAGTCTCCGACTGAGCACCGTGGCCTCTGCTAGGCTCTTCGGAACTGGGTCTGGTGTCGCCGACGGTGCTGTGAAACCCCATGGAAGATGGGTGCCCCAAGTGCCCAAGCAGGTCACCTGGTTCTGCGCTGTAGAAGGGTGAGCACTCTGTCAAAACTCCCTGCAATGCTCCCATGTCGGCGCTCCTACCTGGCGGTATATGCGCCAGGTGGTTCCCTCCCAGGTCGCGTTTGTCTCCGCTGTCTTGGCGGCAGAGTCCGCCCTTGCAGGTTTCTGTGACTCTCTCTCTGTGCTCTCAATGCCATCATCTCAGACCCTGCCTTGCACCTGACTTCAGTGATGTCCCAAAATCGCAGTCTGCATCGTTCCAGACCGCTGTCGACGAGGGAACACTGGTGCCGAAGACAATCTGACGGATGCCTTACCAGCAATTATCATACAATGGTCTGCTCAGCTCCATCTGCTGCAGATCTGCCACTTCGCGATCGACGTGGTATACACACTTGTGCAGGCTGTTCAAAGGGGCGGTCGCAAGGTTTTTTCTTCAGGGTCAAAAATGATGTGGCACCATGTCTGAAGAACTGGATACCCAAAACCCATCCTTCTTATCAAGCAGGTGCTGTGACGTTAGTTCCGTTTGTCCGAGTCACCGTCGCTGTCCTCGCCCCTCGCCACGGCAATTGCTGCAAATCGCATTCCCTGCACCTAGGATCGAGACGTTGCCTAAAGCTACAGACACGCACAGACTGAGGCCTGAGGCTCCCAATGCTTCTCTCACTCGTATCATGTCCAGCCGCGTTGGTGCCATATTTGCCTCCATCATTGTATGCCCAAACCTGGTCGTGCCCGCACACAACAGCAACATACCTCTCAACGTACCCTCAGAGCTGCTTCAATGCCAGATTCCCAAGAATCAGGGCAACTGTGACCCACCTCTTCGATGTTTCGGGCAGGGATCAGCGGCTGCAGTGAAGGCTCCGTGAAGCCACTCGGCAGAGAGACACCCGCGGTGCCAACACAGGTCACCTGCGGCACTCCGCAGGCAAGTGATTGAATGTTGGAAATTGACGGTGTCCTTCGAGCTTAACTTTCTGGACTCTCAGCACAACTTCTTTTCAGGCCTTTCGTCCAGGACCAGTTCCGAAAGGAGAGTCCTTACAAATCGCTGCAAGATGTCTATCCGATTGGCCGAAACTCGAACAGATCCGCGTCCTTCTCGATTTTGGACAGGTCTGGAAGCGTGGAGCCCCCCTCGCGCACTCGCTGCTGCCAACCTCGAATCAACAGACGCAGCCTACAGGAATGGTAGCTCGGCTCGCTGTGCTATGTGGTGTGCTTCCCAAGCCACGGCCGCGCCAGGTGAGGTTCGATCCCAGCTCCAGCAGAACCCCTGGGGCTGCCCCGGCCGAGTCAAGCCCGGCCTTGGTGGATCAAGGCCAGAGCCCTGACAAAGCCTTCACTGATTCACAACACAAATCACAACTCAAGACTATCAAACGATCACCATCACTCTTTCACACCCTGAGATTCAGACAAAGTCTTCGCCGTCATCGATGTCGCTGGACAGAACTGTAAGGCAGCAAAGGCTCAGCGCCCAAGCGTGAATCATGGATCTGACATTGACGGGAATGCTACGTAAGGATGGAAAAGTCTACAGACAGACGATGCAAGGGGTGGCCCTGGTGGCCAGAGCCTTTGAGCCCAAAGGAGCAAGGAGCAAGCGACACAGAGTCTTGGGTCTCGAAGCCTCCGGCGGAACAACTCCACTAACTGCTTTCAGCGTCGACCTGCCGATTGCATGCAGATTCCAAACCATCTACCTACCTCCCCTTCAGACACGCTACACGCCTTCTCTGCACGCATTACGGCACATCTTCAGATATGTGAGACGGGATTGCCACCTGCGTGGCTACTCTGAAGAGTAAGACTTCAGCAAAGCCAAGCTTGCTGATGTTGTGCCGTGATTCTCGTTGAGAATGCTAGCCTTACTTCTCGGTGTCCAACTAGTGTCATGCACTCAATCTCATGTAAACCCGAAGGAACAAAGGCAACCTGACCCGTCACCATGTGGAGAAAAGTATCGCGAATCCTCAAGTTAGGGCACGTAGCACGAGGCAGTGCTGCATGTGATGCCGAGGTGCAAACTTCACAGTGCGTGTGCACAGCGCATCCACACCAACCATGCTCCAGTTAATGTCGTTGATCATCCACGAACGATCTTCAATGGCTCCAACGAGGAGAATTCCGAAAATGTGTAAATGCTGATACACGGCACCACCAGAGTCAGCGATCAGATTGCAAAATTGGACTGCATTGAGACCAACCCAGTAGCATGCACTATGATGAGCGTAAAGCCGCCCACGATGCTTCCATTCCGCAAAAATACAGGGCAGGGACACAATATCCTCGGCAGAGACAGTATCCTCATGTCTTTGGTTGTTCAAGTACACATAGTTCAAGCTGCCAGACTCAATGATGTAGACCTCTGAAGGCGGCGACGTTTCACCAGGATGCATTTATCATGCTCAGGGTTCCAAGCTAGGTATTCACAACTCCTGGCCATCATATTTTTTCGCACCCGAAACTAGTGCAGGCTGTCCTCTCGTTGCCAGCAAAGCTACCCGAATGTAACACACCAACAAGAAGAGGCAACGCCGCAGCCATCAGCCCGCCTCCTCTGCATTCGCACCTGCGATAAAGGCATCCTGCCCTGGGACCGCCGTGCCCTCTCGCATCGCCTTGAAAGCTGGGGAAAGAAGAATGAGCCACCTACTAGTACCTTTTGAACTGCTTCTGACCGAGTGCCTGATGGCAGATGAGCCGGTGCAATAAGCTGTCCCTCTCACCAACCCATTTGGGCCAGAAGGGAAGGAGGCTCAGAAGAGACATGAACATCTCCTGCAATCATTGCATGTTTACGAACACAACTCGTGTGTTTCACGAATGGCTCCTCATGCAGCTGCATCTTGAGGCGCTCCGGAATGCCCTCTACCAGTTTGACGTCGTGCTCCTTGATCCGGACCTCAAACAGTCCTGGAGGTTTCAATTGCGAAGGGCTGATCCCTCACAAAGTGCGAGAAGTGTCCTTCTTGTCGCAACACGTCTTCAATCTTTCCATACAGGTCCTGCACGGTACTGGCATTGAAACGTCCCAGTCAGCTCCCCTCTTCGCAAGTTATCTGGCCCTTCCCCTCGGGTGCTCCGCTGAGAGGTTTCGCTCCACAAAGAATCGAAGCAGCTTCGCTCGTTGCTGGAATTGCTCCACACGCGAATTCTGCAATTTGCCTGAGACGAAGTGCTATGTCAAAGCCTTCTGAAACATCGGAATCACCACCCTGAGCTGTTGTTTCCATCAACGGTGCACACCAACCCTCCATAGGGTCCAATGCTTGCCAGGCACTCACAGTGGCAGTGATAGAACTGATAAATGATGAGAACACGCCCATGGCCAGCAGGATTACCCACACGGCGAAGAACCTCCAGCAATCACCCCAGACCGTGGCAATGCACCGAGCCACGAGCTCGCTAAAAACAGCGACGTGAAAACGAACCAAATTTGATGCACGGGGGGGGGGGGGGCATTACTATGCAGCAATGCATGCTTACGTTGTCTGGGCCCCTGCTTTGGGGCCTCTCGCGACTCGCGACCGCCACACTTTGGGCATCCAAGCGTCGCAGCTACGGTCGTGTCTTCGCAGGAGTGCATAGGCATCGAACTAACTAGGTGCATTGGC